AGCCCCACTAATCATTAAAAACACTCATTCAATAGCCAAGAAATCGTCGAATCTTTATTTGATAAACTCTGGATTTTTAAAATAGACTTTGCTGAGTACTTCCCTTTGACATGTTTTCATTCATGTGTACCTTGAAAAAGAAATTTTACCATTGGGATAGGATGCACTTTGCTCTGGAAGAAAAAAGTATACAGGTGGACGTTGGTTTAATATCGTATTAGAAATAATAGTATAATCGCTTGTTCTAAGACGTCTCTTGGTTTCTCTTGCGGAAGAAAAAAAATCTCTTGTTTAGGCAAATTTTCTTCTAGATTTATACGCAGATTCTAGTCCGATATTATCACTATGAATTATTTCGTAAAACGGCTACAAAGTATTCTTTCATACAGAAACTGTCCTGTACGTGAATTATCTGTCTTTTTGGACAAACATGGACCAGTATGGACGACGATAAAATCTATGTCAGAATTATTAAAACAAGAAAAGATTAATCATGTTGTCATCGGTGGATTAGCAGTATATTTGCACGGCTATCGCCGAACAACACATGATTTAGATATATTAATATCAAAAGAAGTAAATATCTCATAGATGCAAGTCGCACCCTTTTCTTGTTCACTTTTAAAATCTGTGTTTAGGATCACCAAAAGTTTTTGGAAAAATGCGTAGGACATGGCTTAAAACCAAAATTTCCTGGTGCTCGGAAAAAGTTTATCAATACTTACACAAAGATTCCAGTCGATATTATTATTCAAGGAGAAGTAAGGTTCTTTTGTACCGTGTTTGGTATTCTGAATTAATTAATTTTCCTCTTTTCTTTAGTATCCTGGAAAAGGTGATCCAGGTCCAGTTTCTTTTCCGGATCCACAAACATGTACCGAAATTATATCTGAATTTAATGTTATATCATTAGCAAAATTAATTGAACTGAAATTAGCATCTTATAAAAGCTTGCCTATCGGTCGATCCAAAGATTTAGCAGATGTTGTTGAACTTATTTTGGAAAATAAGTTAGATGCTGATTTTGCTAATCAATTAAATGAGTATGTCAAAGATGATTGTCTAAAACTCATCGATGGATTAAAAAGTGAAGGAAGAAGAAAAGAAGATGACACAACACCATAGAATGAATAAGATACTTTTTATTTTGTTTCGTTATTATTTTCTGGCGTTTTTACGTTTATTATTTTGAACAAATTAGAAAAAGATGGGACAGAAACGCAATTTTTGATAATCTCCAATCTATTCTCTTGCGTAGCGAAAATCACTGTACTGCAGATTACTAAAACGTGCAATATGGTACACTTATACTTTTATCTTAAGCGGTTGTAACGAATTAGAAAGTATTTATAGATATGCTAAAAAAGCTATTACTCTAAAACGGGTTTAACTCGTTATGCTGTATCAACAGGTGAATCTTTCTTTTGTTTTTTTTTGTCTAGTTCGATAATAGATAGAAGTTAACACTTTGTTTTTTTTCTTCTTCTGTAGCTGGTCTTGAAACATTTGCTCAACATTTCACACATTTTACTGAATTATTGTATGATGAATATGAAAGTATACTTAAAATTTTAATATTTTGGAATCAACACGTCAATTATGATGTTAAAAAAGTTTCACAACGTGCTTATGACACATTTTTAAAAGGAGTAAGAAATTAACAGAAAAAAACAGCCACCAATTATCAATCTTCACGTAACTCATTCTTATTTTGCTTTTAGATAGCTGATGCATTAAAAGCTCGAGCAGAAATACAAGATAATGGTGTTCCACAGCGTGCAATAAAAACTTTTAAATATTTTGTACAAGAATTTCGTAGAAAAATCGAATCACCAATAATGGAAATTCGGTCCGTTTTGACTTTATCTTCTTTGTTTTTCATTTTTTATGATACTCTAGCCAATTTAGTGATCTGGCAATGGCGATTCGTGGTTACAGAACATTTGCAAGTGTGAGTAAACTTGAAGATTAACATGTAATTTGGAAATCATTTTTTATTGTATTTAGGCGTGCAAACTATTTGGCATCGCTGATGATGTACGATTTATGTTCGTTGATTTGATACAGCGTTGCGAATAAATGGTATTCCTTTACTTTACATTATACAATGTGTTCTTTTTACATTTAAGCGCTTTTCTATTCCATTTCTTTTTAGCGGTACCAACCATATCGTTAACTGAAGCAGCTGACGTTTATAATGAACGTTTTTATTAATTGCCTAATTTACTTGATGCATTATCCGCAATTATTATTGAAATGACTGATGTTCGTCAATCATATATATTTGAAATTAGTTTTAAATATGTCTATACTATTTTCTTTTAGGTTGGTGAAGAATTTCTTGGACCATTGGAACGCCTAACCGTAATGACAATTGATTATTATCCACGTTATCAGCCAAAATCACAAGCGACAACGTGTACATCCGTCATCAAAATGATACTTGCCATTCAAACAAAACCAACCGTTTGTTTTAAACCGTTTTTATCACGAATAGGTATAAAAAAACCGTGTTAGCTTATTTTTGATCATTAAGCTCTTAAAATCATTTTTCAGTTAATCAATCATTGATTCTTTGTTGTTCATATCCATTAAAATCATCAGTTGATCCGATGATGGAAGAAATTGATCCCGATGAAGAAAAATCCAAAACAACATTTGCCATTGGAAAAACGATAATTTATGAAAATTATATTTCACTATGGAAAATGGTCTTTGATGTTACAACAACAAAAGTAAAGTCAACTTCTCGTCAAAAAATCTATCTTAATTATTGTTATTGTTTGAAATTTTTAGGAGCCAGAAATTGTTGTCTATTCAATATTTGATAGACAAAATATGC